CCGACTAATCAGCTTATTGCAACAGCTCCCCAAATGTTTGTTGTTGCAACATGGTGTTAGGCAATTTGTGTTTAAAGAATACTAACACGTCTGTAAGACAATGTATTTCCACATAGTTACACAAAAACATGGTTTTCATTGGACAAAATAAAAAACTTCAAGGTAAAGAACTGTGCTAATATGTTAAATATTTCATGCATGTTGGCTCACTTTGATATTTCCTTTTTAACAAACATAATTTATCACAGTTCAAAGATGTAAAGAAACACCACAGTAAGAAAATTATCAAAGCATGACTGTGGCTTTGTTTTCCAGGTCCAGGTTTGGCATTCATTGCATATCCTCAGGCAGTGGCTATGATGCCTCTTCCCCAGCTCTGGTCCATCTGCTTCTTTGTCATGCTCATCCTCTTGGGTCTGGACACACAAGTAAGATGCCTAAGCAACTTTAAAACATACCTCAAGTAAATCAGATGTTTACTTTTGAACATATACTTGTGTAAATGTCTGCTATCTTCACAGTTTGTTGCAATGGAGGTGGTGATGACGTCTATCATAGACATGTTTCCCAGAATTATGCGACAGGCAAGACGTCGAGAGAGCTTCCTCCTCCTGTTCTGCCTAATTTGCTTCTTTTCTCAGCTAGTCATGATCACTGAGGTCTGTATTTATAGTCAAACAGGAATTCTTACATATTCTAATATGTAATAATTTTCTATTTATTGATTATTGTTAATGTAAAATATACTTAACAGTGGATGAAATCTTCTTCCAAAGGGAAAAAGATTAACTTTCTCTGCTGTTGTTCTCTGCAAGGGAGGGATGTTTGTGTTCCAGCTGTTTGACTACTATGCATGTAACGGAGCCTGCATCCTCTTCCTCTGTGTGTTTGAAGCCCTTTCAATGGGATGGATATTTGGTAGGTACACAGATTTTCAATGTTTTAATGTTGAATGTGATTATACACAGCGTCCTCTATGACAAACCACAGTTCCTGACAAAAGCCTGTCGAAAAGATTTAAAATGAATCCATCCCTAATTTAATAATATCATGCTGAGAAATTTAGAAAAGCCCAGTCTAATTTAAGCATATTTATTCATGGGGGCAAAATAAAATTTGTCTTTCTCTTATTACTGATTCTACAGTTATAATCCGAAACAGTTCTCATAAAAAAAATGACCCTGTTTTTTATGTTGATCAGAGTGTATAGTAACCTTTACTGATAACTAGTGTTGCGGCGATGTCATTTTTTGGCCCCGATACAGATACCACCATTTTAATGCACTATCGGGGCCCCGCCCGATACTGATGTCGGTATCGGTCCAACACTACTGATAACCCATGCTGTATTAATGTTACCAGTGGTGGATTTAACAAATCAATGTGAAGGCAGGCATGGGGCCCTCTGGAGTGAGAGCACAGCATGCAAAAAATGTGAATTAGACTGATACAGACATTTGAACAGAAAACATGCATTATTGGCTTTACCTTTTGTGCCCCTTTTGCACATCCTCTTTGTCCCTTTTTACTTCCTCCTCTTTGTCTTCTTCTCTTCATATTTCTCACCTTATTTATTTTCTTCTGTCCCTTTTCCATGTTTATTTTCTCTATTTATGTCTATCCCTTTTTTTTCTCTTGCTCTCCATGTTTTCTTTTGTCCTTTTTTCGTAGTCTTTTTATTTTTTTTATTTTTTATTTATTTTAAAGCAAAATCTCTCCTTCAAACATTTCTTATTAATGCGTAACCTTTTAGGAGCGGATAAATTGTATGGCATAATAAAGGATATGACAGGGGTGGACGCCAACCCATTCTTCAAAATCTGCTGGCTGTACCTCACGCCACTGGTCTCCCTGGTGAGTCATTGCCTCTGTGTTGCTGTGTTGGTGGTATAAAGTCACAGAATAAGATGTAAACTGTTGAACAGAGAAATAAGTCAAGCTCAAGTCTGGGCTAGATTTTAACTAAACCGGCTCATTATTTCTTCTCAGGGATCTTTCATATGTTCTTTAGTGGAGTACCAGCCTCTGACTTTCAACCGGTGGTATGTTTACCCATCCTGGGCGTACGTATTGGGCTGGGTGCTGGCTCTCTCCTCCATCCTGCTGGTACCAGGGTGGGCATTTTATAAGCTGGCTACAGGCAAAGGCACACTCAGGCAGGTGAGACAGTTGAGTATAGTTTTATTAAAATTACAAATTAAAATTTTATGTCATTTATTCACTATTAAGATAGCATCATATACATGGATTCTATCTTTGAATGCTGCAGAAACAAATCACTCAAAATATCCTTAGAAAATGCCATACCATACTAAATTTGTTTAAAAATTCAAAATAAACATATAAATACTATAACACAATATTTAAGAGTAAGCTTGAAAATAAATTTTGTATCTGAGTAGTAATTTGTTATTTAACAGGTCTAAAATACAATTTTATAGAATTGCATTATCTGTAGATTTCTAAATATATATTTAGAATCATCATTAAAAATATATGATTGAACATTTATGAAATGAAGTCTTGAAAAACATCAGTATTAAGGACATTTATGTCAGTTGTACGTTTGTTTATTTAACATTATCAATGTATTTTACTCTTCCCTGTTCTGCAGCGCGTCTGCGATTTATGCCGACCTGCTCTGGACGACTCACCAACCCAAACGACAGAAACCGAGCTGCAAAACATGGGTGTTGACCTGCTGCAGCCATTCATGACCAACTGATGCAACTAGAATTCTCTGTTTAGCTTTAAGCACACAAAACTTAGATGAACCTCCATGATCAGATGAGGAGAAAAAGGCTATCAAGGTCTGAGCATCGGTTCAGTGTCTCCTTCTGTGGAAAACAACATCACAATAGATTTACCTTTAAGAATAAGCCATATTATAAAAGCACCACCTAAAGGCTGTATACCTTCATTCTGTCTTTTTTCTGGTTGTTTTTGTGAGATTTCATTCGTTTTACTATGAACATTATGCTGTCAGATAATCATCTTCTGTGGTTTTTGTATGGAGTGTTAAGACAAATAAATCCCCTCCATTGAGTTTTTGTGTTTTATCTTGTTCATTTGTCCTTTTTTCAGGTGTGGTCCTGCCTTTTACTTCTGAAAAAGATAACCTTTAAAGGCAGCAAAGAGCTGAATATGAATACAGTGGTACGCTGTTATATACAGCTTGCATGATTTCAAGAGCTATTGCAGATATTCTAAGAAAATGCTCCACTAAAAGGTTAAAAGCAGATACCATCCTGGTGGACTGACTTTTCTGCTCACAATTCATAACTTTGGGAGGATTATATTTGGAAATTTCCACTGAAGACGAATGGAAAGCATCAATAATGCACTACCAAAAGCCTTCCTGTGTGAAACATACAATGTGAACAGAACATGTGAAAGGATGATGGTAACTGTCAAATAAAGGCTAAATGTTTTATAGTTGTTTAAGTAAATCATTGTATGGATTTAACGCTGCCTAGCAGATACCGGAAGAAACGACATGGTTTGTTCTAAGTAGCTACATGCTCCACAGAATCACTGATGCTAAATAACCATCAAAACAGACTTTGCCTGTTTTTAAGTCCATAAATATGGTGCAAATGTGCTTCGTTCTTCAAGCCTCACAGGCAAATTGCTAATTTTAGACTCCAGGACCAACTAATCTGGATTACGCCAAGATATTCATCAATTGTAATAGTAAGGGGAGTGTTGGCCTAGTGGGATAGAGCAGGGCGGTTGTGCTCTGCAAAGGTTGCAAGTACCTGGTTCAATCCCCAAAGCCTGGGTTCCTGAGCAAAAACTTTAACCCCTGGTTGCTCCCCAGGCGCCACACAACGGCAGCCCATTGCTCCCCAAGGGGATGGGTTAAATGCATAGAGTGAATTTCCCCATTGTGGGACAATAAAAAGGATTTTACATTACAAATGCAGGTAACATACTGACTGTTTCAAATCATATTATTACCTTAGTTCACAAAACTTGGAAGGTTCCCTTAAAATTGCAACGTTCTCTGAATCTGATCATTTAAGAAAGTAGGCAAAAAAAAAATCCCCAACTTGAATATCAGGGTAACAGTATATAAACAATAAATATTTCTATTTCTGACTTATTAGGACCTATGGTTGCCTTTTCCCTAAAAGAAAACAAGAAAGATTCATTTACAGCAATCTACAGTTGAAAAACGATTTACACCACACTGCAGGAATACACAAAGATTTAAAAACAAGGTATTGTTTGATCAAACACTGCCTTTATTTAAATAGCTTAAAAATCTATTTTTTTTCTGTAAATCACTTGAAATTTCAAAAATGCGATTATGGCTACTGCCTGTCGTATGCACAAACAACTCCTGCAAGACATTCTGCCAACTCTTTCATGCAGCATAGGATATACTGGGTACCGTTTTTGTTTTTTTACAAAGAGGAAATATTTACAAACTCAGAAACACAGATAATGTTGCATTCAAACATGTTTTTTAGCGTCTCTCCATTTCATTCATTTTTTGTCCAAGGCTTGTTTGGCTTAATGAGAGCTTTATTGCTGTGGAAGTCCATTCTCTTCAGCCTTATTGCCATAGGGTAGTGAAGTGTTACTGCGGTGGTGGTGTGGTGTTTTTAGCAAGTGAGGAACAAGATACACCATCACTTCATTAGTTTATCAAAGGGCAATAAAGAGACACACAAAAAAACAGGCACACACTCATAACTAAAAGCAATAAATAATTGATCTAACAGTCATCTTGTTTTGTTTTTTAATGAAGCTATAGTACCAGAGAAAACCAAAGCATGCACAGGGAAAACGTGCTGTTCCCATGCAGAAAAACCTTAGCCCCTTCTTGCTGAATGGTAGCATAACGTTGCTACCACCAGCGCCACCGTGTCGCCCTGATTAGGAAAACGGGATAAAAAAATTAAAAAAAGAGCAAAGATCTCCATCAAATGTCCCACTCAGTCATTGATAGATCTATTGGACCCAAAGAATGACTCTTGAGGAACATTGCAAACTGCTACATTTCTGAACAAAATAAAAATAAAAAAGCTTGATCCTTTATAAAAAAGAAAGCAATCAAAATAGCAAGATCAACAAAGGCATGTGGTGATGCATTAAACAGTACAGTTCATGAATTAAGAAATGCTGCTCGTCTATTCTGCCCATGTCATAAGAACAGATTTTAAAAAATATACCAAAGATCCTTTGCAGCGCCTTACTTCACATTTACAAATAGGCTACAGTACATGATCACACACACAGCAAACCACGCACAAACCATCAACACACAAAATACCAGAGCAGGCCTTCTGCTTTAAACCACATAAACAACAGAGAGGCAGATCATTGGTACGGATCCATCTGTTAACTGCAGTTATTCAGCACAAATACCAATACTAAAGTAGTTCAACATCCATCTGAGAGCGTTTATTAGAGGGGGTCCAACAGAACCACATGGCTAGTTATGGTTTGTTTTAGAGGCCAACATGGATTAATATTAAATTGATTTTGGTAGGTTCTGTTAATGAAGGTGAACTTCAGGTTGGAAATGTTTATGTGGTCGCATGAAAGAATGCTGGAGCAATGCAAGTTTTTTCTTTGGACTTTGAGGAAAACGAGAGGAGGTCATTTAAAAAGTAGTAGTGTATATTTCCACATGTCCAGTGAAGGAATAGGTCCGACTGAAATCCAGGATCCTCCACAGGTTTCTATGATAAAATGCAGTTGAAAAGCTTGGTTCAGCTCAGTGTCCAGATGTCAAAACATTTCGACCAAAGGGTATATCAATAAATTGAGGGGATATTTTAGAAAATGTAATGATGAATTCAGGTGATGAGGCAGCACTGTGCATTAGTCTTAAATCATGGGGTGATTCAATATTAGTTGTTCAGGGTTTTTTCTTCCCACTCTGTAAGCTTTTCAAAGCTTTTCTTCTGGTTCCACGATCAGTCTTGTTCCCAAAGCCAAACATTTAGCCTCAACATAATGTTTTTTGAATCAATAAAAAACAGTTTCAATGAAGACTGGAAAGCAGGAAACACGAGGCATGCAGGAAAACTCTCAGATAGAGCAGGCAGAAAGATTTCCCTTATGTTATACTAAGAAATTTGGTAAATTTGCCTGAAAAGGAAGTTTAAAAAATATATAATGTTTTAGATAATCAAAGAACTTAATTTATCCAATTACACTTTAGAAATAAGAAAAGAGATGTTCTTTTACAAACATCGACTGGACTTCATTAAAAGAGCATAGCAGAGTTTTTGCAGAAGTCTGCCCCCTCTGGGACAAGTAGAACTTTCAGTGTTGTACATATGAATGGGAGAAGAAGAAAAGCATCGCAGTCTTGCCTGCGACTGCACAGGTCTTTTGTTTAGATGTCTAAAGTAAGAAAGTTATAAATATCAAAGTTAACCCATTAATGATCTAATGATGGCAAGGACTCAGGAGAAGCCAAATAAATCTCCCATGAAATGACAAATGGGAAATAGAGGAAAAGTCATTTTACATTTCTAACCTTTCAACTAGCTAAACACTTCTTTAAAACATTTGTCACATTTTACCAAGGATTTGGTCAGGAAGTGAATCAATAGATCCCAAATAAAGTTCCTAAAGTTAAAATCTAAAAGTGGTTGTTAAAGGAAACAAAAAAGTGATTTCATCCCTTTAGTTCCCATGAAAGATAAACTTTCTTAAATTTTTCTGAAAGCCCATGGAAGAACAGGTTAATAAACTCTGGAAACTTCAGGTTTCCAACATACCAATGAATCAATTAGCAATCTCATGTACTATTTGTTAACACTCTGTGGGTGTAATTTAATGGTTTAGGTTAAAACCAAAGGATTTGAAAAGGATTTTTTTTTTAAGTTCAGGCAAGCTGGAATTCCACGTCAGATAAAAAATTAGCCCCATGTGTAAAACTTAGGATCTTGTACTCTATGGATCTACAGCAGTACATGTGTTGTAAAAAATAGAGCTTAAAATGCAGATCAGTGCTTTTACCTTTAACAAAGTTATTTTTTAACTTTTTGATCTGACAAACTGAAATATTTCACACTGCCTAGTATTTTTTTTAACTGTCAAACTATCAAAACATCCAGACAGTATAAAGCAGAAAACACAGATACAGATAAATATTTAGTAAAGGCACAGCAGTCAGGACTGGTTTTGTCAGTCTTTGAAGGCAAGGAGGCTTCTAACCTGAAGAACTGTCAGGAGACATGAAGGTCCCTTTGTCGGGGGATCTTTCGCTGGTCTCCACTTTCCTGTCTTGTTTTACCTGAGATTGCTCCGACCCGCAGGAAAAATGGCAGGGGTTCTGAGCAGCTTGTGGCATCGCCGTGGTACCTGTACAAACACTTTGCGGTTTACCGACAGAACTTGGATATGACGGGTTCTGGGATTTCTGGGTAATTTCAAGGTTGTGGTAGCTACCAGACTCTGCCATGGTCTGACACAGATGTTCCCAAGCTGTGACACCGTTCAGGCTTTGGCCCGGGTTGCTGATAGCTTGGCAGAGTAGCTCTGTGTGCTGACGCAGCTGGCAGATTTCCTGCTCAGTGGTGTTGCACTGGCGAAGCAGCTCCTTTGTACGCAACGTAATGTCCAGCAGACCGGACTGTCTTAGAAGTTCTACCGTGTTGAGGAATTGGCGACGGCGAGAACTTGTGGTGACGCTCCTCCTATGACTTCCTTGGTGTGGAGAGTCAGAGGACACCGCATGCAGACTAGAGATGGATGGAGATCCGAGGTCTGCGGAAGAAATCATGAAGGTGGAGGAGGGCAGACTGTTTCTGCTAGATGTAGAACTCAACAGGACAGAGTTTGAAGCTGTCGGCTTTAGTTGGTTGTGATGGCGCTCCTCAGACAGGCCTCTACTTACTGAAGTTTCTTCAGTCTTACGTTCAGTGCACACCCTCTTGCTCAGAGTTTGGGATTCCTGGTCAGATGTAGACTTGTCAGGTGGCTTCTTGGTAGGATGTGGAGCAATGCGAGGGTAAGAGTTCAATATGGGGAGGTAGGTATTTTTGGCTTTCTTGCCTTTGACACTAGAATTCAAAGGCTTGAGGTGCTGCAGTGTTGCTGGCATGAAGCTTTGCTTGTCAAGAATGATCATATTTGGAGAGACAGCATGGCTGATTATCCTCATGCTGTTACCAATGCTCAGCTGACTCCTTTTCTGGGTGACGGCTGGCTGCTGGGAAGAAGAACACTGTGAAATATTTTCACTCATTGGTTGGATGGACTTGAACTGATAAGACTTTGATATGAGATATTAGCAGAAAGAAAAAAACATTCAAAGAACATCTGTTGTTATTTTTCCTTATACAAAGTTGTACCGTATTCTCTGGTTTGACAACACGTCATTAACCCTCCTTACCAAATTAGTTGTATTTACCTTGATGATATAGACGGGTGGATGGGCCTGATTGGTAAGCTTCACAGTAGGATCTCCAGTGTTTCTGCTGCCTTGTGTTTTGGATTGACCTGAGTGTGAAGCCTCAGCATGTTTTATCCCTCTCCTTTGGCTGTTGGTGCTACTTTGGTCCTCAGCATCTGTCTGCTGCCAGTCAGAGCCCTCTGGAGAAAGTCAAAGCACTCAGAATGGACTAACAACGCTCAAATCAGGGAAACATAACTTAAAAATTCCGTAAAAGTTTGAAAACAATCCACTGGACTTGGTTTCCAAGGTTTGAAGA